GTCAGGCCTCCCAATTTGGGGGGCATTTGAGGGGCAAACTCATATTGGGGGGGGGGAGATATAATTTTTAAAAAGGTCGCCCCCCAGGAGATTCGCCCCCTCCTCAAAAGGAGGGCGATATTCCTAGGAATATCGCCCCCGGGGCGAATATCCTGGGAATATCGCCCCCCCCCCCAGGGGGTGGGGGCGAATACCCTAGGAATATCGCCCCCCTTTAGGATATTCGCCCCCCATATATGCGATGTGGTTTATTCAAATAATTTCGTGATACTTTCATCTTATTAGTGCCTTATACACGTTTGAGAATTTAACTCTGCAAAACTAAAGCTTTCAGTTTGTCTTTTTTGAAACGTATTATTGGAGTATTGGCAAGTTTTACCATTCAGAGATTTACAAACTAATATTGAAACTGTAAAAAACAGTTTCATGTATGCACGCATTCACTAATGAGTAATGACAACTTATAAGCCATACATTTTCCGATAACGACAAAACGCTTGTGTAGCCTTTAGTCGCTCTTAGTGACGCCGCCACTGGTAGTAAGCCAGTGAGACTGAAAGGTAGCGATAGTGGAAGTCAAATCTGAACCTCTCTATTGTCGTCGCGCATAAAGACGAAGGGGAGAGCAAGTTTACACTGAGTTCACATCGTTCACAAAAATACTGAACAACAGGGACCCCAGTCAACCTTTTGTTTACGACCATACAAGTAGGAACGAACAATAGGACTTCAGTTTGGCTAGCAACAAATTATGGCGGATAAAAATTAGAATCGAATGCATTATAGAAAGATCAATTGCCACAACAGCTATGTCCTTTTTAACATCGAGATCAGATCTCCAATCTTCAGCCAGTTTTCAGAGAAAACAGGAGAAAACGCCTGGTGTAACTGATCGAACTTTCTCAACTAACTTTGGGATCACAGACAATAGATTAATGGACCTATCGTTAGTTTTATGTGTCGGCTCTTCCTTGTTATAATTAGGAATGGCATCACTACATTTCCATTCCGAGTGGGTCATATAGAATCGGGAATGCAGTGACTGAGTAGCGCAGTAAAAGGAGCAGCAATTGAAGGTGAAATTCCATCAGGACCACTAGCCTTTTTCTCATCCAGAGACAACAGCAGCTTTTTCGAATATTCACAGTTGATCACAGTAAAAGAAAAATTAAGATTCACTTTAAGATTCTTTATTGCCGTGTGCATGGATGGTTAGAAAACTTCTCTTCAGTAAGCTCTAAAACTTCTTGCTCAAAAACTTCAAAACCATGCATATGGTCTAAAGTTGTTATGTCAGTGATAACGCGTGACTGACATTACTATAGCCATATATAAGCTAATATCAGTTAAGTTTTAGATAACAGTTCATATATTATAAATGATGATAGAACCGCTATATAATTCGCCGTTTTAATTTACCATGTTTCACTGGACCACTCTTCTCATTTGTCTGTTTTGCCTGCAATAATAGCAAGAACATGCATGATAATTTTGTTGCTGGATCAATCTGAAAACCAGGTTTGAAAACTTGAAGTATAATCTGGCTAACGCCAGCCTATTTTACGTCTAGGTTTCGTCCAGTTTATCAGTAAACAATTTAATTAACTTTTTCGTGAAGAAATTATCTAGGCCGGCTAGAAACGTCGAGGTCATCAAACAGTTTTGGGACTCATATTTGGTGACGTTTGAGATAATATAATTTATAGCCATATAGATAGATAGATAGATAGATAAATAGATAGAGATAGATAGATTTTATTTTGACACGCTAACTACGTCAATTAAAAACATTGATTTCCACGAAGGGCGTGTGTTCAAAAGTTATTATATATAAGTGTTTTTATGACTCTTATGGAATCAAATAAAAAAAATAGAAATAATCTAACTGTTCCAATTGACAAAATTGACAATATAAACAGCTAACAAAACATATAGATAACTATTTACAATAAAGGATATATATATGTATGTATAAATATATTATTTAGAAACATGAGCAGCAATTTTTCTTTCAAATAGAGACTGGGACCTAATTCTTCTGATTTCTTTAGGCACTGAGTTCCATATTTTTGCCCCATTAAACATAAAACTCTTTTTCATGCTATTTGTGCGGAGCTGTGGCAAAACGAGTGTTGTTTCATTGTCATGCACGGAGACAGTAATGCGTATTCTCATTCTTGTAGATAAAAAGGTCTGTTAGGCTTTTAGGCCCAGACATATTCAAAATTTTGAACATTAATTTTGCCTTAGCTTTAGTTCTTTGTACTTTTAGTGTCTCCCATCCTAACGAATTTAATGCAATTTGGGCATTAACTTCGTTACCCATGTCCATAATAATTCGAGCGCATCTATTTTGAAGCTTTTGTAATCGTTGTGATTGAGTTTCACCAAAAATGTCCCACACTTCACAACAATAAGTAAAGTATGGTTGTACATTGCGTTAAATATAGAAACAAGTGTATCACGGTCAACAAATTCTTTTAGTTTTCTAATAACAGAAATGGCCGATGTGATTTTCTTACAGATACTCTCAGTGTTACTTTTCCAAGAGAGATGCTGATCAACTATTACTCCTAGTGTCTTGCATTCCCTCACTTGTTTAATTCTTAATTGGTCTGTTTTCAATCATTATGTTAAAATTTGAATCTGAAACAGTATGCACTAGAGCTAGATCTTGATCCTATGAGCATAAATTCAGTTTTGGCAATGTTTAGACTCAGTTTGTTCGCGTTTAACCACATTCGGAGGTTTTCCAAATCAGAGTTCACTGCATTTTCAACATCATCAATTGTACCACCGGAAGCAGTGAGGTTTGTGTCATCTGCAAAAAGTCTTGGCTTTGTCCTATTTAGGCTTTCAGATAAATCATTTATGTATATTAGGAAAAATAAAGGACCTAAAATGGAGCCTTGAGGAACACCACACTTAACTTTGTGTTCAGACGAGACAACACCATTTACTTGGCATTTTTGGGTGCGATCAGTAAGATATGATCTCAACAACAAATGTGCCTTATCCTTAATACCGTAAATTTGCATTTTCTCAAGTAGAATTTCGTGATCTACGGTGTCAAATGCTTTTTAGATCTATAAAAACTACTAAGTTAAACATTTTTCGATCCATGTTAACATATCAACTATTTGTTGAATCTAAAAGGGACGTAGCGGTGGAGTGAAACTTTCGAAAGCCAAATTGGTTATCAGAAAGAATTTCGTTTTTAGTTAAATAATCATACAGCTGGTTATACAGTAATCTTTCCATGATTTTGCTTATGACTGGTAGTATCGATATTGGCCTGTAATTACCAGGAACATTACGATGACCACTTTTATAAAGAGGTAAAACTCTAGCTACTTTCCATTCATCTGAAAAGCTGCAAAGAGTAATACTTTGATTAAAAATATATGTAAGTGTAGCAGAAATAACTGGTGATGCTAATTTAAGAATTTTACTGGAAATTTTGTCAATACCACATGCTTTTTTACAAGACAGCCCTCTTAAAAGATCAAAAATTTTGTTTACCGCAATTTGTGTAAATGCAGTGAACTTGGATTCAGAACTTTTAGTATACTTTTGAAAGTCACAGCTAGATTCATCCAACTTGCTTGCCAAGTTTGGTCCAACATTTGCAAAGAATTCATTTAACCCTTCTGCAATCTCTGTAGGATTTGTTAATTTAGATTCATTAATAATTAGTTCATTTATAATCGTGGGTTTCTTACCCTTTCCGATCAAACTATTAATAGTTTTCCAAGCCTGCTTTGGATTGCACTTTTGGTTAGCAATCTTTTTAGAATAATAGTCTGTTTTGGCTTTCCTTAATTCGGTATTTGTTTGATTTCTGGATTTTTTATAAATGAGCCAATCAGATTCTTGTTTAGTAATAATTGCTTTTCTTTTCAATTTATCTCTTTCGGTTATGAGCATTCTAATTTTGCTTGTAAACCAAGGGACACTTTTTGATTTTATCATATGGATATAATACACGTTGCTGATATGGAATTGCTGTGTAGATAAGGCTAATGGGCCAATTTTGCTTAGAAAATTCTTTGTTGACTGATAAAGCTTAGGATCTTAGAATGTAATAATTTACAAAATTATTAAAGCGAAGTGAATTGTGAGTTTTATGCAGGTGCACCGGAAGCAACGTGAAGTGGCATGATCAGGGGCAACCGTTTAATTAAAAAGGGCACCTGTACATATACTTCTGAGCCTTAATTTTTGTTCGTTAAAATTTCTGTACGAATACTCGACTACTTCTAGCCAATATAGTTAGACAAATTTCGGCATAGATTGTAACAATGTTATTCCTTGTATAACGCCGAAGACTAAAATGCATTGTCAATTATCATTATCATTGACACATGATTTTGTCAATTATTTTTCTTTTTAACTTTCCTCTCATAGAAATTTGAGAGGAATTTCAGATTCAATTTGGAGCTAAATTGCTAGAAAATTAACAGTGAACAATATTGAACGACGTTCGAATTGTTGTTGTAGTTAAAAAAGACAACCTGCTGCCCGTGCTGCATGCCCCCTCACGCACTGTTTGGGCAACCGGGGCAGCTTGGCCTCGCTGCCCCCGTACATTCCCCGGCTCCCCTGGTTTTATGCAATAGGTGTAACATTACCATAGACAAAAATTAAACAGTATATTAAACATACATTACCTTGATTAATGGTTCGTAATAGTTGTAATCAATATTAACCGTCAAACTCTGAGGCTGGATGAATTTTGTAGCGTTATTTAGTTGACAGTTTTTTGAAGAATCATGATTGAATCTTGATTTGTAATTGATTGATTTGCAGGTAGAGATTTCTCTTACACAGTATTGCGCACATTCTGTGACACTTGCTGTTTTGTATTGGCTGAATACATGCTTAGTGAGGTGGTGTCCTAGAAAAAGCAGAAAGAGGTAAATCATTAACGACGTCTGAATTGGGGGTGCATCAAAGACCGAGACGGGCGTTCTCTCTTGCCAGCCTTTTTATTAGAAAGGGCAAAGGAGCATTATCGTTTTTTGATAATTTTAAAAACTCGTTATACAACGAAGGTTTGTTAGCTGCACTATGGTTGTATGGCCTTTCACATCTGTAACTGAGTGGTCATATTACGACTATCGATCTGCAGTATAGTCCTGTATCTCTATTCTCGAGCTCTACTGAATATAATCCCACCGCATTTAGTAAGCTCCGGTCAAAATATGAGAGTTGATCATGATGAGTTGTAGTCACGCATTGTTACAGGGAGGTTTGATGAGTGTTCCAATAATGATTTAACTTAAATAAAATACATAATAGTGTTGCATGGAGAACAGCATTATAACAACAGCTATATATAACCAATTTGATCTGGGTTTTACACATGTGATGAATGCCAAGAGAACAGTTAATAACCGATAAGAGAATCTATAGTGAGAAGAGAATGTAGCCTGCACAGTTAGACGCTGGCCATGCACATGCAGGGACAAGACGATTTCGAGCACAGCTAACCGCGTACGAGTTTCCTTGAACAAATTCAACAATGGAGTGGACGAATGTGACACGCGTACGGTTGGTCTCACAAATGATATCATTTTTGGTGTACATATATGCCACTCATTTGTCAGGTATAGATGTCTCACTGGTGAAAAACTATAAATTGCACAACACAGTGACTGAATTTATAAGATAAACAACCCAATAATAAAAAAATACATAAAAAATACATGTTATGTCAGAGAAAAAATATATTAACAAGATATAAGAATAATTAATTTGGTCCTGAAATATAAAAATAAATAACATGAAGACGATTTGCCAACCGTGCCCGATAACGTATACCTGATGCAGACAAAACGAACCAGACGCCAGATTGTTGTAAGGTATACGTAATGGTACTTGTGACATCAAGGAATATTAGATACACTAAAATTCTTTGATACTGTTTGCCAGGTGGATACATAGATTGATGTAAACTTGATTTCAAGTTTTCTAGGCTTTTCAATGTCACGACAGCCCCAATATCTTCCAGCAAAATCTGCAGCCACCTCTAAATCATATTTCAATTTATGTCAAATTACATCACTCTTCCGCCCTCATGCAGTCGACTATATCCATGCAGTTAGACAATCTCATCATGTTTCAAACAATAATTAATCCTGGTTTGAAGTTAATAAACGTTATTAGTGTTTTTGGAGAAGATTTACATTGGGCTATATAATTTTCTCATGGAGAATAAAATGGTATACTATTGAAATAAACAGTTTAATGAATAATGAAACAGAGAGTTGGTAATAAAACGGTTTTAATAATGAAACAGACAGTTTGTAAATAGTACAAATAACTATTAATATTGCAATAAAATCTATACTTTATACATTTGCCATTTGGATTCGTTTTACTGAGGAATTGTCACTACACGAAAAATTTAGTATTATTGGTTATTGCTGCTATATAGAGAAATACTTTTTCTTCTGTTGAGACGTTGACGACACAATTTGCAGAAAACAACTGTTTATTGCAGTGGGAAAATATGAACTAAATTGCCGCGTATAGGCTATAGTTTTAATTAACTCTCAGCACGGCAGGAATCATTGATTACATGCATGTATTTAAAATCAATGAAACAGATAATGAACGTTTTATTAAGTATTAATAATGAACAACACAACGGCATGCCAACGGAATAATGAAATACGATTATATAGAAGAAGAAAATGTATATATTAATCACAAATTCTTTTGGCAAAAACAAGTTGATATTGAATTGCAGGGAAAATATGACTGTGTATGAAATACTGAGCGACTGCATTATAACGAAAAAATATCCAAACTACAGAAACACGATCGTTGAAAAACGTACCTTTCTAAATATTATTTTAAAATATATTATTAATACTAATAGCGTTGAATAGGCCGATCATTAATTTTTTGTTCCTAATGTAATAACCTGCAAAGAGTAGATGCGGTTTTTTATCAAAATTATTTTTATATTACGGCAGTTTATTTTGAATAGTTTCCCGCAGATTGACGACCGTCATTTGGTATATTCATCAGGCCGGTCAGCACCATATCCACTGGATAATAATGATTTTTTTCTAAACGTTTCTAAAATTGTCCTTTTATTGGCATAACTAAAGCCATAACCCATGGCCATGCAGATTAAACTTTATAATTTATCAATTAAAGTCTCTTTTTAATATAATTCTGAGGTCCATATCCCGTAGTTTTATAGCTTTCAGAGCATTTTTACAACGGTTGAAAAAATCATAGACCATATACTGATATAGTTAGTAACAGATTTGTCCCAATTCGTTTGTGCACGCGATTTATTATCCCGTGACGTCATCGAGTGAAATGCAGGCGCATATTAATAAGAACGCCTCACGAGAACGAGTATACTAACTATAGAGATTATTAGGCTGAGTTTGGCTGACTTAGACATACAATTTGGTTCCTTATTAATGTTAGTAAAAAATTCAATCCTTCATTGTCGCACTTTCGTACCGATTCTTCCCCAAGGAAAAACTGAAAAAGAAAAGTTTGCATGCAAAATTGTTTTTTAAAGAATTGCCACGGATGGTCAACTAAAGGAGTGGCCATATAATTATTTATGGGAATCGAGAGGGGGG